TTCATGTTTGTTGCCACTTAGTATTACGGTCAAGGGATGTTAAAAATTCATGTTTGTTGCCACTTAGTATTACGGTCAAGGGGTATTCCTCTTCACTTGTAAGTGAGAGGTCTGCTAACCCATTGTGAGGCTGAGCCCACCTCCATCCTTAGTGTAGATAATATTATTTGTTTAAAAAATAAAAAATAAAAAATAAAATAAAAATTCAGGCTTGTTCTACAACTTTATTTTTGGTCCAATTCAGCCTAAACCAAACCCAAACCTAATTAGGCCTTAAAAGATTCCAATTATTTCATCACTGCCCATGAAAAAGAGAAGTCAATGGCATTAATAAATAATAAAACAATGATATCCGGAGGATTACAGTGACGGGGATAGGCAAAATTATAAGGTAGATTACAGAAAACTTGGTCAACAAGAATGGTTAAATTCTTGAGAAATTAAATCGCAGCCTGCAAGTGAATTTCCAAGTGCTTCTGCTCAAAAGTTTCAGTATTCTATCCTTACGAAATTCCAAGGCATTTGCGTATGAATTTAGTTAGGAAAGTTGGATGCATGTTTAGTTTAGCCATCCCTACTACTTTAATTCCCTTTCTGTTTTACTCAGTTGTTAGATTTCTTGTATGCAGCAGCAATGTGGTTAATAAGCACTATTCTAAAAATTCTCGTGTAGTTACTAAGCGGTTGGACACCGTCCCAATTAATCTTAGGGATTCGAAAATTAAGAAATGGTGCATGTTGCCTAGACTTGTCCAGACACCCCCTAACCCCCTAACCGAAGACTCTCACTCAGACAAAAAATAGATCACTTTCACTTTGCTTTTTATTGTTATTTTCGATAAATTTTAAGAGACTTGTTGAGACATTCATTACATTGTTCTACATGTTTTCAATATGTTCTAATACTTTATAATTTATATGTTCCAATACAAGTATATTTATTTTTATGTAAAGTAAACACTTATTTATATGTTACATAAGAAAATTAATTAAAATAAAAAAAAACTGCCTAGATGCCTATGCGTTAGGCCCTTGCCGAGCGCTCGACTAGCGCCTATCACCTTTTTAATTGTTAATAAGTCCTTTATTTCTCTAAAAAAAAATTACACTTGATCAGCACATGAAGCGATCTTTTAACATTGGAGAGAAATTGGAAATACGCATATCGCCATGACGTGCTGAAAACTAGAGGGCCACAAACACCCCAAAATCCTACAATGAAACCAAGAGCCACTGAAATATGAAGCCATGGAATTTCATTCCTATTGTCATGTTCATCTTCCATGTTCTTAGTTGCATTATCACTTGTATTCATCTGTTGGCATTTGTTTGGAAGCGGGGAACCGCAAAGTCCCAGGTTGCCCTCATAGGCAGTGGCATCAAAGCCTTGGAGCTGTGTGCCTAACGGTACTTGTCCTTGGAGGTTATTGTATGCAACACTAAATGAACCCAAGAAATGAAGACTTGATAATGAAGCTGGGATGCTGCCTGACAGATGGTTACTTGAGAAGTTTAAACTCTCCAAGTTTGTGAGCTTAGATACCTCGTCTGGAATGCTGCCATCGATGTTGTTGATGCTGAGATCCAGCAGATGAAGGTTTTGCAACCGCCCTATCTTAATGGGAATGTTGCCACTTAGACTGTTATTTCGGAAGCAAATAGATGGCGGAAAGTTGGACAGATATTTGTACTGCAGCTCCGCGACAGTTTCATTCGTGAGCTGGTTGTAGATAGGTAGTTCGACATCACCACTATCCGTCTGAGCGGAAGGCTTCTCGGATACAAGAGCTTGCAGTGAGAAAAGCTCATTTGGAAGTCCCCCCGAAAGCAAGTTGTTGTCCAGGTTTATGAAGAAAAGACTAGGAAGACTTCCCAACCAAGGAGGTATTGAGCCTGTGAGTCTGTTATCAGACAAATGAAGGACTTCGAGTTTCTTGAGCTTTGACATCCACACCGGAATGTGACCTCTAAGTTGGCATTCCGATAAGACAAAAAGGCGGAGATTTTGAAACCCAGAACCAATCATTGCATCACCATCCGGCAGTTCTTCACCTAGAAAACTATGTGGAAGTGCGACCACCCTGAGACTTTCCAAACGCATCAATATATGTATAGCGCCGGTGACATTGGTGAGTTTGTTCCTACCAAGCGAAAGGAAGGATAGGTATTTCAACGAAACAATCTCGGGTTGTATATGTCCCTCTAGATCATTACTGCTCAGGCGAACTGCTTTCAGATACTTGCATGAGTAAAGGCTTTTTGGCATGGCACCAGAGAAGTGATTACTCACGAGATCAAGTTTGATAAGTTGATCAAGTTTGGAAAAATTTAGCTCCGAGATATTTCCATCCAAACGGTTGAATCCAAGATTGAGTTCGATAAGGTTTGTGCAATTCATCAAAGATGGGGGCAGAGGACCTTCAAGATTGTTGAGATGAAGGAGCATGAGTTTTAATTTGGAGAGCTTGCCGATGTGGAGAGGAAGTCCGCCGCTCAAATGATTGAAGTAAATCTCTAAGATTGTGAGGCTGGTGAGATTGACAATGTTGTCACTAATGTGACCGAAAAGCTGATTGGAAGGTAACGAAATTTCATGAAGAGCTTGTGCTTTGTAGAGATCACTAGGAAGAGTTCCAGAGAGATAATTGAAGCCCGCACGAAAGGTTTCCAATTTCGAACAGTTTCCTAGTCCGAGAGGAATTGAACCATTGAAACCGTTGTTGGAGAAATCCAAGACTCTAATCGAAGAGGAACGAAGACAGATAGAGGAAGGTATTTGGCCTGTAAAATGATTTTTGCTGACATTCAAACTGCTCAAATTCCAGGCATGCTGGAGGAATGAAGAAGGAATTGTAGCATTGAATTGATTGTTCGACAAATCCACTATTTGAATGTAACTAGATGATAGAAACAAAGGTAATTTTCCGGAGAGAAGGTTATAGCTCAAATCAAGGATTTCAAGGCGACTCGAGGACAAGAAGAGTCCAGCTTCCAGAGGACCAGAAAGCAGATTGTGGGAGAGATTGAGGTGCAAAAGATGCGTGAGGATTCCAAGAGAGTGAGAAATGCTTCCTTGGATCCGCTTAGAGGGCAACGAAACATGTGTTACCCTACCATCGGCATCACAAGCGATGCCTTCCCAGTGACAACAATCACTGGAAGACCAATTTAAGCGAGAAGAAGATATATCAAAAGATGACAAAAGAGAGTTGTGATCTGCCTCCTTGCAAGCATGGTTTGTAGAAATGAAAGTAGACAACAAAAAAAACAGGAAGAGGACTCCATAAGGTATTACGCGACTAGCTTCCGGCATGATGTTTTTCGCTATGTCACTACTGGAATTATATTGCTCACATCGTTTCGGGGGGTATATATACACTCCTTTGTTTGGAGCAAAGGAGGTAGAAATTAACAAAGGGAAGAAGGTAATTAGGTGATGGTTTGAATTCTTGCGAGCGATGTTTGAGTTTTGAAAGAAACAAACCTGCAGAACACGGGACGTCACTAATGGAGGGTCTAATCACGGGTTGGCAACTTGGCAGCAACGTATTAGAAGGTTTACATATCTTTTAGTTTTGAATCGTGTACATATCTTTTATGTAATGTGGTTTTGTCTGCTATTTCCCAATATCTTCAATCGTGTAAAGATCTCTTATGTATTAGTATATGGATTTGAAGTGGTTTGGTTTGACTTTAGGCTTTAGGAGTAAACAGCAAACAAAAGACTTCAAAGAGTCACTTACACTGACTTCAAAGTGGCCAAATGCGTTCAGATTACAATTTTTTTCTTTCTTTTTTGGATAGAAGCCATAGTGAAGAAGAGGATAATCGAATCTCGGACTCAAGTGCAATAGTAAATGTTCTTAATCACTTGAGCTTATAAGTAAAAGTGAGTGGGTATTTCAAGTAGAAAAATTTGTTTGGATGGAGCTTTCACCCCGGAGTCCAAATATCATCTCATCTAAGTAATGCAATTATGAATAATTTAGAAATTTAATTACTAATTTTAGGTGAACTTTGACTGACCTATTTTCTGATTCCTCAAAAGCTTGGTAAAAGCTTTGAGAAAAGTGCAATTCCATTTCTTCCCATTCCGGTCCGGTTTCGCAACCACGCCATATATGTAATCATGGGTTTGCAACGTATTAGAAGGTTCCTTGACTTTGGGGTCGTGCTTTTGGAAGAGTACTTTAAAATGGTTATTTGATAAAAGTGCTTTGAATAGAAAGTAGAAACAGTTTTAATCACTTGGACAATTTTTTAGATGAACTAAGAGATAGTGAGTGGCCACCTCTCCTACATAATGATTATGGCAAAAAAACTGAGTTAAACAGTGAGTCATTCATATTATTTGGATAGGTATCTACATTGAATTAAAACTATTAAACTTTAAAATTGTAAAATAAAGATATATCTATTCATGTTGGTTGGATATCTTCATATCATTATTCAATTTTCATAAAAAATCTAAAATGCCTTTCCAATTTTAGATTTTTTCAACAACTCCTCCTTACTCCCAACTTCTTAACCCATTGATTGATTTCAAATTATTGAACCGTCCCCCAGATTTTTTTTTATTGATTCTTTTCAAAACGAAACAATTTGAGTATGAGTAAAAGGTCTTCCTTTTTATTTTAATGAATCCGTTTTTATGTTATTTCGTATTGTTCAATTCCTTTGTTTGTGGGATCATTTTCTCACGAAATGAAATTCAAATAAATTATAGAATGGATTAATAAACCTATGTCTAGATCTAGGATAAATGGAAATTTTATTGATAAAACCTTTTCAATTGTAGCCAATATCTTATTACGAATAATTCCGACAACTTCGAGAGAAAAATAGGCATTCACCTATTACAGAGATGGTAAGATTTGATTATTCGATTTTTTTATTTTATTTTCTATTTTTTTATTGCTCTCAGTCTTAAGAGAAAGACAACATTATTCGGGATAGGAAAAAAAATTTTATTGAAATAAATCTACACTTGTTTGAAGGTGAAGTTTGTAAATAAAGCAAATCCTTTTGTCATGTATCCCCGATTAATGCAACCTCAGAATGCTTCAATTGTCGATTCTAGAGTATTGAGCGGGAGGTTACACCTATGGGTTAGGTCTTCACCAATAGAGAGCGTAGGGGAAGAAGCACTACTCCTAGGAATCAACACATGAAAACTTTGTTATAAATTATCCCTTTTCCTTATCAGGATCGGGACTAACAAGAATGGTTGGGACAACAAACATCCATCTTGTTTGTTTTTTGGATACTTGTATAACCATTGAAGATTGTTGAAGTGACTAATAAAACAACCTTCCCAAATAAAACCTCTTTCGACGTAACCTCCAAACATCATCAAATTGTAGACGATGAAGCTGCATTTACATGTTTCTTCCTTAATGTGCTATCTTACGCTCACAAGATAACTGCAATTTTAAACTCTCTGAAAAAGAGATTGCACATAACTTATTTCCAACAATGGCCAATTTGCAGGGTAACTTATTTCCTGAACGGCCCTCCTCTTGTGATTTTCGGCTTCTGCTCGTGTTGGGATTCGTTCAACAACTTCCGAAGAAGTAAGTGAAAACCCAACTCACACTAGTTTTTTTTTTTTTTTGTTTTACTTCTGGAAAAAATACAAACCCAACTTACAGCTGCAGCATTTGTAGGAGCTGAGGCTGGCCATTGTTGGAAATTTTCCCATTAATGCTGTTGTCCTTCACGTCGATCACGTGAGGAAAGTAAGACAACTTGTACTGCAGAAACATTGCGTTGGTCGAGATGTAGATAGGCAGTTCGAGAACATCACCGTCTACTTGAGGAGCAGTTTCTTCGGATAACAACATGGGAATTGTACAGAGTTCCTTTGGAAATTCACCTGACATTCGATTGCCTAGGAATCGATTGGGTGATTCTGTTAAGACTCAAAATCACGAACCCTAGCTTCCTGAGCTTCGATAACCATTGAGTTATTTCACCGTTGAGCTCACAGCTACTCAAATCCTGTTAGTGTATAAGCATTGAGCTAATCTGTTTATTTTGAAATGAATAAGCCTTGTATTTAGTTGTGTATTCACTTTGGTAATTCTCACCAAGTGTAGGGCTCATAGTGTAATTGTGTCTAAGTGACATGTGTAAGGATCCTAGAATCTAGTTAGATGAGTGGCTGAGATCATCTTTCTGTTTTTCAGTAGTGAGAACATATATTGTATTTTCATCTGTTATGCACAGTGTGAAAGAGTAAGAACATTCTCTCTGAGATTTTAACAGAGAGCAAAAGCATCAAAGTTCTTTTCATTTTCTTATCTGTGATTTCATTCCTACTTCCTTCTTCAATCTGAAAATAGTCATTGAACTTTAACAAATCCAGCATTTGAAGATTTTGGAACCCATTGGAATTAGCCATTGCTTCATCACTTGGAATTTTCTCTCCTAGATAAAAACTTGTCGAAAGGAGGAGTACCTGGAGACTTTTGCAGCACCATTAGTATCTTCATTGCCCCTGTGATGTTGTCAATCGGCTGTAGCTGAGAGAGAGGAAGGACAAGGATTCGAGTGAAAGAATCTCGGGCTGTATCTGTCCCTCTAGATTGTTTTTGCTCACTCGAATTGCTTTTAGGGACTTGCATGAGCAGAGACTAGTTGGCAAGAAACCGGTGAAGTAGAGTTATGACCAAGTTCAAGTATTGGTTTGTTTAGTAGGATTGGAGAAGTTAAGTGTGGAGATGTTTTCTTTGAAAAGGTGGAGAGCATTTTACACTGTTGAATTGAAGGAACAGGAGTCGTAATTTGGACAGCTTACCAATGTTACTTTACGGGATCCGTTGGACAGGAGGTCATGGATTGCGAGGTCGAAAATTATTTCGCACCCGTGTAGTGAATTGCGAGGCAATGCAATTAAATTGCGAGGGAATGCAATTACTTCAAGTGTGGTAGCATTGTAGATGTCATCTGGGAGTAAGAGGTTGTTGTAACCAGCGCGAAACACACCCAATTTGGAACACGCACCTAGTCCATGAGAAATATTGCCACTACATTTATTTAGGGAGAAATCAAATAGTCTAGTCGAGGGAGACAAAGAAGACAAATAGGGGACGGGATAGACCCCGAGAAGGTGTTCTTGACGTTGAAACTAGTTTGCTCTAAAATAATGTTATGAGTACAATTTCTAAGAAGAAATCCCGCAATTTTTGTGCAGGAATCAGAAAGGTACAAAAGTTTGATTCGGCAAGACATGGACCTGCATGTGATTCAATCCAAGCTTAACAAAGGCCTCTACACAGAGGATTGCATCCCCATGTTCTTCCGCGACCTCCTCCTCCTATTCAACAATGCCATCGTCTTCTTCCGCAATAACCCTCCGGAGCACAACGCAGCTCAAGAGCTCCGCTCCATTGTGCTAAAGGAAATGAACGACCAGCTCCCGAACCCACAACCCGCGACCAGAACAGTAACATCTAAAGTGCCCAAGATCGAAACCAAAGCTCCCAAGATCGAGCCCGATGTCTCCGAGAAACCCACCAAGTCTTCCATTGTTGTTTGTGGAAAGCGTGGTTCTGTCAATGCACTATCAGAAGGCGGTGAGAAAGCAAAGGTGGCGAATGAGAAGAAGACGGATGGTGCTGCATCTGTGAAGGTTGAGGACAAGGGGATTAGGAGGAAGAGGACACAAGAAAGAGGTGGGCGGAGAGGGACAAGCACGAGGGGCAGGAGTGCAGCGAAGCCGACGAAGCCGCACGAGTATGGCGTCAATGAACTCAGTTCGCATGACGGTTTAGACGCGTTGGAAGCGGAGAAGGAGAAGAAAGAAAACAAGGGAAAGAAGCAAGGCGCAGCGAGGTTCTTGAAGCGAATGAAGCAGAACTCGCCGAGCACTGAAGTGAAGAAGGACGCATCGGATGGTTCTGAGGACGATAGCGATGAGAGCGAGGACGAGAAGAAGAAGAAGAAGAAGAAGAAGCCGACGACAAGGGGTAGGAAGAAGCCGGAGGTTGAGAGGAATGAGAGGGTGACGCGGAGTTCAACAGGAAGCGGGGGAGGGAGGGGAGGGGGAATAAGGTGTCAGGAGAGCAATGGGAGGGGAAGGAGAGGGGTCGGGAGGCCACCGAAGAGGCAGGAGACTGCGGCGGCAGAAGCGGGGAGTAGGAAGAGAGGGAGAGAGAATGGGGAGGCTGATCAGGTGGGGAGTGCAGGGAGGCGGAGAAAGCGTACAAGGAGGTAAATGCGGCCATTGTTGTAAGCTGTAAATTATTTTTGGCATGGTTTGGGTTAATTTCTGGTAAACCAAACCCAAACCGAAGTAGGCCTTAAAAGATTCCAATTATTTCATCACTGCCCATGAAAAAGAAAAGTCAATGGCATTAATAAATAATAAAACAATGATATCCGGAGGAAAGTAAGACAACGGCCATTGTTGGAAATTTTCCCATTATTGCTGTTGTCCTTCACGTCGATCACGTGAGGAAAGTAAGACAACTTGTACTGCAGAAACATTGCGTTGGTCGAGATGTAGATAGGCAGTTCGAGAACATCACCGTCTACTTGAGGAGCAGTTTCTTCGGATAACAACATGGGAATTGTACAGAGTTCCTTTGGAAATTCACCTGACATTCGATTGCCTCCTAATGCTAAAACAAGGAGCCTCGGAAGAGCCCCCAACCAACTAGGAATCGATTGGGTGATTCTGTTAAAACTCAAAATCAAGAACCCTAGCTTCCTGAGCTTTGATAATCATTGAGGTATTTCACCGTTGAGTTCACAGCTACTCATATCCAGCATTTGAAGATTTTGGAAGCCATTGGAATTAGCCATTGCTTCATCACTTGGAATTTTCTCTCCTAGATAAAAACTTGTCGAAAGGAGGAGTACCTGGAGATTTTGGCAGCACCATTAGTATCTTCATTGCCCCTGTGATGTTTGTCAATCGGCTGTAGCTGAGAGAGAGGAAGGACAAGGATTCGAGTGAAAGAATCTCGGGCTGTATGTGTCCCTCTAGATTGTTTTTGCTCACTCGAATTGCTTTTAGGGACTTGCATGAGCAGAGACTAGTTGGCAAGAAACAGGTGAAGTAGAGTTATGACCAAGATCAAGTATTGGTTTGTTTAGTAAGATTGGAGAAGTTAAGTGTGGAGTATGGCGTCAATGAACTCAGTTCACATGACGGTTTAGAGGCGTTGGAAGCGGAGAAGGAGAAGAAAGAAAACAGGAGGAAGAAGCAAGGCGCAGCGAGGTTCTTGAAGTGAATGAAGCAGAACTCGCTGAGCACTGAGGTGAAGAAGGAGACATCGGATGGTTCTGAGGATGATTGCGGGGAGAGCGAGGACAAGAAGAAGAAGAAGAAGCTGACGACGAGGGGTAGGAAGAAGCCGGAGGTTGAGAGGAATGAGAGGGTTGTAGCAAGTTTGTGGCGGAAGACTTTGAGTATGTCCTCTAGGTACTCGAAGCAACACTTCTCTTGGTGATGTTTAATCTCAAGTGTTGTAGGGGTTTTGCAGCAGGTGGAGATATGGGATTCACAGGTGATGAGATGGTCTTGAGGTAGGAGGAAGTGTGGGAATTTTGTCTGGCTCGATGGGTTGTTGCTGGAAACGGGCGCGCTGACAAGTTTCCAGGTTGCAGACAATGAAGAGGAGGAAAACCTGTTGAAGGAGACGAGGATGTGTCGAGATCATGTCTGAAGCTAAATTGTGATTTTTAGCTTGCAGCAGTTGCACATGCATTGGCAGTGACTGAATCGGAACATGACTAAAGAGGTTGATTCAGAGTGTGCATGCTGGTACGTAAGGCCAATGGACTTTGGTGATGGGTGCAAGGATTTTTGCATGGTGAATTCGCCAAGGTGGAGATTGTTGTGTTTGGCTCATACATTTGCGAGTAAATATGAGTCAAGTGTTAACAACAATGAAGTGATCTGTGTTTGCTTTCGGTGGAAATATCACATGGTGTGGGTTGCATGAAAGTTGCAGACAAAGTAAAAGCAAAAGTTTGGTGGACATCATCATGAGTAAAAACATAATGATGATGCTTGCTTTTGCTTTAATGATGATGTTTGTCTTTTGCTTTAATGATGATGCAAGACATAATGATGATGGCTTGGCTTTAATGATGATGCCTTTGCATTATATTGAGAGTGTTTGCCGAGGGAGTGTGAGGGTATCAGAGAGCATCCAAAGGGGGAGAGCATTCGGCTCTCCCATGGGAAAGCATGGGCATGAGTGAGAGAAAAGGTAGCATGATGGATCATCATTGTGTCTATGAAAAAAAGGAGAAGTTGACTCACTTTTCTGTCCATTTAATTGCAAAGAGCCGAAGTGGAGAAATGGAGAGAGAGAGCATCCGAAAAACATAGAGGGAAAAGAAAATAGAGTGAGAGTGAGAAACTTTTGGGGTAGAGTGAGGCTCTTGGGAAAATTCTATGAGTGGGTGTACAAGGGATTTGGGATTGGGTTATGTCGATTTAACTCATGTGTACTTGTACTGTTATTCTCATAGTGAAGAGCAATATCTCTCCGGGGACGTAGGCAGGATTTTTGCCGAACCTCGTAAATTTCTCGGTGTCTTTATTTCTTGTAATTTTATTCTGTTCAACTGAGTGTGATTTTGGGTGTGGTTGTAATCTGAATCTCGTTTCCGCACTAATGAACGGGCCAAGGCGCAACAACGCGGAGCTCAACGGGAAGCGGGGGAGGGAGGGGAGGGGGAAGAAGGTATCAGGAGAGCAATGGGAGGGGAAGGAGAGGGGTCGGGAGGCCACCGAAGAGGCCGGAGACTGCGGCAGCAGAAGCGGGGAGTAGGAAGAGAGGGAGAGAGAATGGGGAGGCTGATCAGGTGGGGAGTGCAGGGAGGCGGAGAAAGCGTACAAGGAGGTGAATGCGGCCATTGTTGTAAGCTGTAAATTATTTTTGGCATGGTTTGGGTTAATTTCTGGTCTTGTTTCGTTGCTATTGCTAGGTTTTTACAGTCTTTTTTTTTTATACCTTTTTACCCAAGTGCGGTCAAAAGAATTACTAGAGAGGGATAGGGAGAGACAGAGATAGATGTGATGTGAACTTGTAGAATGTTTTGGGGCATCTCTTTTTGCATATACAGATGCTGATGAGTAGCATCATCAGTGAGGACCTTTTTCGTTCTAGTTTCAATATTGTTCTTGTTTTTTTTAGTGTGGGCTTTTTTGGTGCAATAGGAAATAAGCTGGGTCCAAAACATCCGAAAACAAAGGAAGAAATTAAGATAATAGTAAAGAAATATACTGAGAAAGATAATACAAATGCAAATGACGCATTACTGCAAAGTGATGGAAAACAATAATACTCATGCACTCTCGTGCATATTCGATCTTCTTCTCTCTTAACATTTAACAATTTAATCCAGTAATCGTTTGTAAAAAAAAACATAGAAGGATAACACAAATCATATAATATTAACAATTTCCTTGCCAAATGGTTGGATATTGATATTGAACGCAACTTATATCGATAGATGCATTGATATTCCTGCAAATTTACATATCGACATTTGTCCCGATACCGATATTTGAAACATTGCTTCTACTATTTTTACTTTCATATAAATTTGTCTGATATATTATGTTATCAAGAATAAGAGTTGTTCATACATGTCTTTGGATGATGGTTGATAGTTTGGCAAGAAAACCGTTACATGAAAAAATGTTAAAAATTCAGGTTTGTTGTCACTTAGTATTACAGTCAAGTGGTATTTCTCTTCACTTGTAAGTGAGAGGTCTGCTATCCCATTGTAAGGTTGAATCCACATCCACTTAGGGTAGATAATATCGTTTGTTCACAAAAAAAAAAAATCAGGCTTGTTCTACTACTTTATTTTTGGTCCAATACTTTATAACTTCCAGCCTAAACCAATCCCAAACCTAATTAGTCCTTAAAAGATTCCAATTATTTCATCACTGCCCATGAAAAAGAGAAGTCAATGGCATTAATAAATAAAATAGTAATAATAATTAATAAAAAAACAATGATATCCGGAGGATTACAGTGACGGAGCTAGGCAAAATTATAAGGTAGATTACAGAAAACTTGGTCAACAAGAATGGTTAAATTCTTGAGAAAATAAATCGCAGCCTGCAAGTGAATTTCCAAGTGCTTCTGCTCAAAAGTTTCAGTATTCTATCCTGACGAAATTCCAAGGCATTTGCGTATGAATTTAGTTAGGAAAGTTGGATGCATGTTTAGCCATCCCTACGACTTTAATCCCCTTTCTGTTTTACTCAGTTGTTAGATTTCTTGTATGCAGCAGCAATGTGGTTAATAAGCACTATTCTAAAAATTCTGGCGGAGATGCTAAGCAGTTGGATACCGCTCCGATTAATCCTAAGCATTCGAAAATTAAGAAAGAGTGCCTGGTGCCTAGACTTGTCCAGACACCCTCTAACCTGTGACTCTCACTTAGACAAAAAATATATCATTTTCATTTTGCTTTTTATTTTTTTCGATAAATTTTAAAGACTTGTTGAATACATGATTGTTCATTATGTTTTCAATATGTTCTAATACTTTATAATCTATATGTCATTTTATTTTGCAAATATATTTATTTTTATGTAGAGTAGACATTTATTTATATGTTACATAATAAATTTAATTAAAATAAAAAAACTGCCTAGATGCCTATGCATTAGGCCCTTGCTAAGGGCCCGACTAGCGCCTATCACATTTTAAATTATTAATAAGTCCTTTATTTCTCACAGTAAAAATTACACTTGATCAACACACAAAGCGATCTTTAACATTGGAGAGAAATTGAAAATACGCATATCTCCATGACGTGCTGAAAGCTAGAGGGCCACAAACTCCCCAAAATCCTACAATGAAACCAAGAACCACTGAAATATGAAGCCATGGAATTTCGTACCCATTGTCATGTTCATCTTCCATGTTCTTAGTTGCATTATCACTTGTATTCATTTGTTGGCATTTGTTTGGAAGCGGGGAACCGCAAAGTCCCGGGTTGCCCTCATAGGCAGTGGCATCAAAGCCTTGGAGCTGTGTGCCTAACGGTACTTGTCCTTGGAGGTTATTGTGTGCAACGCTAAATGAACTCAAGAAATGAAGACTTGATAGTGAAGCTGGGATTCCACCCGACAGATGGTTTCTTGAGAGGTCTAATTTCTCCAAGTTTGTGAGCTTAGATACCTGGTCCGGAATGCTGCCAACGATGTTGTTGGTGCTGAGATCCAGCTGGTGAAGGTTTTGCAACCGGCCTATCTCAATGGGAATGTTGCCACTTAGACTGTTATTTCGGAATCTAATACATGGCGGCAAGTTGGACAGGTAGTTGTACTGCAGAGATGCGACAGATTTATTCTGGGGACTTGCGTAGATAGGTAGTTCGACATCACCACTATCTGTCTGAGCGGAAGGCTTCCCGGATACAAGAGCTTGTAGTGAGAAAAGCTCCTTTGGAATTCCCCCCGAAAGTGAGTTGTATGCCAAGTTTATGAAGAAAAGACTAGGAAGACTTCCCAACCAAGGAGGTATTGAGCCTGTGAGTCTATTAGAAGACAAATCAAGGACTTTGAGTTTCTTGAGCCTTGACATCCACACCGGAATACGACCTTCAAGTTGGCAGTTCGATAAGGCAAAAAGGTGGAGATTTTGAAACCCAGACCCAATCATTGCATCACCATCCGGCAGTTCTTCACCTAGAAAACTTTCTGAAAGCACGACCACCCTGAGACTTTCCAAACGCATCAATATATGTATAGCGCCGGTGACATTGGTGAGTCTGTTTTTACCAAGCGAGAGGAAGGATAGGTATTTCAACGAAACAATCTCGGGTTGTATTTGTCCCTCTAGATCATTACCGCCCAGACGAACTGCTTTCAGATACTTGCATGAGTAAAGGCTTTTTGGCATGGCGCCGGAGAAGTGATTACTCACGAGATCAAGTTTGATAAGTTGATCAAGTTTGGAAAAATTTAGCTCCGAGATATTTCCATCCAAACGGTTGAATCCAAGATTGAGTTCGATAAGGTTAGTGCAATTCATCAGAGATGGGGGCAGAGGACCTTCAAGATTGTTGAGATGAAAGAGCATGAGTTTTAATTTGGAGAGCTTCCCGATGTGGAGAGGAAGTGCGCCACTCAAATGATTGTAGTAGATCTCTAGGATTGTGAGGCTGGTGAGGTTGACAATGTTGTCACTAATGTGACCAAAAAGCTGATTGGAAGGTAACGAAATTTCATGAAGAGCCTGAGCTTTGTAGAGATCACTAGGAAGAGTTCCAGAGAGAGTATTGAAGCCCGCACGAAAGGTTTCCAATTTCGAACAGTTTCCTAGTCCGAGAGGAATTGAACCATTAAAATCGTTGTTGGAGAAATCCAAGACTCTAATCGAAGAAGAACGAAGACAGAAAGAGGAAGGTATTTGGCCTGTAAAATGATTTTTGCTGACATTCAAACTGCTCAAATTCGAGGCATGCTGGAGGAATGAAGAAGGAATTGTAGCATTGAATTGATTGTTCGACAAATCCACTATTTGAATGTAACTAGATGATAGAAACAAAGGTAATTTTCCGGAGAGAAGGTTATAGCTCAAATCAAGGATTTCAAGGCGACTCGAGGACAAGAAGAGTCCAGCTTCCAGAGGACCGGAAAGCAAATTGTGGGAGATTGAGGTGCGAAAGATGCGTGAGGCTTCCAAGAGAGCGAGAAATGCTTCCTTGGAGCCGGTTAGAGGGCAACGAAACATGTGTTACCCTACCATCAGCATCACAAGCGATGCCTTCCCAGTGACAACAATCACTGGAAGACCAATTTAAGCGAGAAGAAGATATATCAAAAGATGACAAAAGAGAGTTGTGATCTGCCTCCTTGCAAGCATGGTTTGTAGAAATGAAAGTAAACAACAAAAAAAAAGAGGAAGAGGACTCCGTAAGGTATTACACGACTAGCTCTTGGCATGATCTTTTTCGCCATGTCTGCACTGGAATTAACAAAGGGAAGAAGGTAATTAGGTGATGGTTTGAATTCTTGTGAGCGATGTTTGAGTTTTGAAGTCTTTGCTTTCCACTTATATAGAAAAGAAACAAACCTGCAGAACACGGGACGTCACTAATGGAGGGTCTAATCACGGGTTGGCAACTTGGCAGCAACGTATTTGAAGGTTTACATTGACTTTGGCGTCGTGCTTTTTGGAAGAGCCAAAACAAATTTTAGTTTTGAAAATGATTGTTTGGAATTATTTTTGAAAGATCAGTTTTTTGAGATTTGACACGATAAATGATTAATTGTTTTAGTAACGACAATACCTTAATTATATACTGATGACTAAAAAAGAGAGTTATGAACTAATAGATGAATAATTATATAGTTAATGTAGAAAGGGTTTTTCCTTAATAATCGAATGTACATGAGTACGAGAGTATGTATGTGTGTGTGTGTGTAGACGCATAGAAGGCCTTTATGGGAATGAATTTTCATTTTTTGATAATAGAAATTAGTTGTGGGACCCACAACACATCGAACTTTAACGCTTCGAACCGTTTATTTTTCAAGTTGGACCTTATAGATCATCTTTGCAAAATATTAGCTTAATCGGAAATATTTGAGACATCTAATTGAGTTCAAAAAAATTGACGAACATTTTGTTATATAAGAAACAATGAAATTTCTTCATGATAATTGAATAGGCAAATAATTTAGGATTAAATTGAATTCTTGCAAGGATGATCTACGAATCAAGACTACAAAATAAACGATTCAAATCGTTAAAGTTCGACGGAAAGTGGACCCTACAACTAGTCCTATTTTCACCCAAAAATAGGCATCGCTTTGGATAAAGGACCTATATATATATATATGTATATGTATATGTACTATGTATGTATGTAATGTGGTTTTGTCTGCTATTTCCCAATATCTTCAATCGTGTAAAGATCTTTTATGTATTAGTCTATGGATTTGAAGTGGTTTGGTTTGACTTTAGGCTTCAGGAGTAAACAGCAAACAAAAGACTTCAAAGAGTCACTTACACTGACTTCAAAGTGGCCAAATGCGTTCCGATTAAAATTTTTTTCTTTCCTTTTTGGATAGAAGCAATAGTGAAGAAGAGGATAATCAAATCTCGGACTCAAGTGCAATGGTAAATGTTCTTAATCATTTGAGCTTATAAGTAAAAAATGAGTAGGTATTTTAAGTAGAAAAGTTTGTTCGGATGGAGCTTTCATCCCGGAGTCCAAATATCATCTCCATCTAAGTAATCCAATTATGAATAATTTAGAAATTTAATTACTAATTTTAGGTGAACCTTGACTCATCTATTTTCTGATTCCTCAAAAGCTTGGTAAAAGCTTTGAGAAAAGTGCCTTCCCATTCCGGTCCGGTTTCGTAATCACGCCATATATAACTGAAATGGAACGTCACTAATGGAGGGTCTAATTGGATTTGGATCCTCTCCTGAGCTAATGGAGAGGATGCTCCTGACCAAGTGTTATGGGCCGTTGGATTTTCATCAAACGGCTATAATTATTATAACTTTAAAATGATCTCCTTTTTTGTAGCCGTTGGATAAAAATCCAAAGGTCTACAATACTTGGTTAGGAGGATCCTCTCCATTAGCTCAGGAGAGAATCCAAATCCGGTCTAATCATGCGTTGGCAACGTATTAGAAGGTTTACATTGACTTTGGACTCGTGCTTTTGGAAGAGTTTAAAGCACTTTAAAATGGTTGTTTGATAAAAGTGCCTTGAAGAGAAAGTAGAAACAGTTTTAATCACTTGGACAATTTTTTAGATGCAATCAAGTTAAGGAAATTTTATTGATTGTTATGAACTAACATATAAATAATTATATTGTTAAGAATAAGTAGAAGTGAGATGATCATTAATTAGTTTATTTATCAGTGAATTCTTCATCATTTAACAGTGTGTAAGGTTATGTTCTTGATTTTTTCTCTTTAAATATCGCTTGTATAAAAATGAATAATACAATTAAGCGCAATAATTACTTAATATATAGTAGGATAAATTTACCATGCGTGACCTATTTCACTACTATATTTTTTTTTACTGTGTCTTGACTTCGAAATTGCAAAGTATAAACATCATCACAAAGAATGCTTGAAATTTTGGACATTGACTTGCCGACTTATCGAAGTTGATTTTGTTCTTCTCAGCAGATTGGACTCGACGGTTTACTTAAGTCATGATCAAAGGAAATTAATTGAGCATTTCGTTTTGTTTTTTTTTTCTTGGGTAAGATGCTTTATTCAAATCGATACGAATCACAGTACATCGATTTTTAACGATTCAACCTGTCTTTTCAGTCTTCATTTAAACTTTCTGAAAAGAGATTGCACATGAACTGTTTGATGAAATTCCTGAACCGTTTTCTTTTGCGTGTTTTTTTCATGTTTCCAACAATGGCCAATATGCAGGATTAGGTGCCACTGTAACTCATTTCCTGAACCGCCCTCCTCTTGCGAAAGCTGCAGCTCTCTGATTTTCGGCTTCTGCTCGTGTTGGGATTCGTTCAACAACTTCCGACTTTCAACCCAAACAGCTGCAGCATTTGTAGGAGCTGAAGCTGGCCACTGTTGGAAATTTTCCCACTAATGCTGTTGTCCTTCACGTCGATCACGTGAGGAAAGTAAGACAACTTGTACTGCAGAACGTTGCGTTGGTCGAGATGTAGATAGGCAGTTCGAGAACATCACCGTCTACTTGAGGAGCAGTTTCTTCGGATAACAACATGGGAAGTACAGAGTTCCTTTGGAAATTCACCCGAAATTCGATTGCCTCCTGATGCTAAAACAAGGAGCCTCGGAAGAGCCCCCAACCAACTAGGAATCGACTGGGTGATCCTGTTAAAACTCAACATCAAGACCCCTAGCTTCCTGAGCTTCGATAATCATTGAGGTATTTCACCGTTGAGCTCACAGCTACTCAAATCCAGCATTTGAAGATTTTGGAACGCATTGAAATTAGCCATTGCTTCATCACTTGGAATTTTCTCTCCCAGATAAAAACTTGTCGAAAGGAGGAGTACCTTGAGACTTTTGCAGCACCATTAGTATCTTCATTGCCCCTGTGATATTTGTCAATCGGCTGGAGCTGAGAGAGAGGAAGGACAAGGATTCGAGTGAAAGAATCTCGGGCTGTATCTGTCCCTCTAGATTGTTTTTGCTCACTTGAATTGCTTTTAGGGACTTGCATGAGCAGAGACTAGTTGGCAAGAAACCGGTGAAGTAGAGTTATGACCAAGATCAAGTATTGGTTTGCTCAGTAAGATTGGAGAAGTTAAGTGTGGAGATGCTTCCTTTGAAAAGGTTGATACCGCGATTCAGTTTGATAAGGTTTGTGCAGTTCATCAAAGATGGGGGCAGAGAGCCTTTTAGACTGTTGAATTGAAGGAACAGGAGTTGTAATTTGGACAGCTTAGCAATGTTAATTTACAGGGAGAAAACCGCTCTATCAATTGGACTGGAGGTCAAGGATTGCATCTACACAGAGGATTGCATCCACATGTTCTTCCGCGACCTCCTCCTCCTATTCAACAACGCCATCGTCTTCCGCAATAACTCTCCGGAGCACAACGCAGCTCGAGAGCTCCGCTCCATTGTGCTAAAGGAAATGAACGACCAGCTCCCGAACCCACAACCCGCGACCAGAACAGTAACATCTAACGTGCCCAAGATCAAAACCAAAGCTCCCAAGATCGAGCCCGATGTCTCCGAGAAACCCACCAAGTCTTCCATTGTTGTTTGTGGAAAGCGTGGTTCTGTCAATGCACTATCAGAAGGCGGTGAGAAAGCAAAGGTGGCGAATGAGAAGAAGACGGATGGTGCTGCATCTGTGAAGGTTGAGGACAAGGGGATTAGGAGGAGGAGGACACAAGAAAGAGGCGGGCGGAGAGGGACAAGCACGAGGGGCAGGAGTGCAGCGAAGCCGACGAAGCCGCACGAGTATGGCGTCAATGAACTCCGTTCGCATGACGGTTTAGACGCGTTGGAAGCGGAGAAGGAGAAGAAAGAAAACAGGAGGAAGAAGCAAGGCGCAGCGAGGTTCTTGAAGCGAATGAAGCAGAACTCACCGAGCACTGAAGTGAAGAAGGAGACATCGGATGGTTCTGAGGATGATAGCGATGAGAGCGGGGACGAGAAGAAGAAGAAGAAGAAGAAGCCGACGACAAGGGGTAGGAAGAAGCCGGAGGTTGAGAGGAATGAGAGGGTGACGCGGAGTTCAACAGGAAGCGGGGGAGGGAGGGGAGGGGGAAGAAGGTGTCAGGAGAGGAGAACAATGGGAGGAAAAGGAGAGGGGTCGGGAGGCCACCGAAGAGGCCGGAGACTGTGGCGGCAGAAGCGGGGAGTAGGAAGAGAGGGAGAGAGAATGGGGAGGCTGATCAGGTGGGGAGTGCAGGGAGGCGGAGAAAGCGTACAAGGAGGTGAATGCGGCCATTGTTGTAGCTGTAAATTATTTTTGGCATGGTTTGGGTTAATTTCTGGTCTTGTTTTGTTGCTAATGAAAGGTTTTTACAGTCCTTTTTTAACCTTTTTACCCAAGAGCGGTCAAAAGAATTACTAGAGAGGGATAGGGAGAGACAGAGATAGATGTGCTGTGAACTTGTAGAATGTTTTGGGGTATCTGATTTTGCATATACAGATCCTGATGAGTAGCATCATTAGTGAGGACCTTTTTTGTTCTAGTTTCAATATTGTTCTTGTTTGTTTAGAGTGGGCTTTTTTGTTGCAATAGGAAATAAGCTGGGTCCAAAACACCTAAAAACTAGACCTGGCATTTTCAACCCGACCAATTAAAATTAGTATTCGGATGGGTGATAAACAGGTCAGGTGGTTAACGGGTCAACCCGTTAATCACCCATTACATAACGGGTCATTTTGGGTGAACCCGCAAAACTCGTTAACCACCCATTAACACCCGTTATTGAGGACTTTTGTGTAATTGCAATAAGAAATAAGCGGGGTCCAAAACACCTGAAAGCAAAGGAAGAAATTAAGATAATACAAAATAAATATATTGAGAAAGATAATACAAATGCAAATGCAAATGATGCTGCAATATGACGGAAAATAATAATACTCATGCACTCTCGTGCAAGTTCGATCTTCTTCTCTCTTAACATATAACAATTTAATCCAGTAATGCTATTATTTAAAAGAAAAAAGACATAGAAAGATAATACAAATCATATAACATTAACAATTTCCTTGCCAAATGGTCGGATATTGATATTGAACGCAACTGATATTGATATATGCATTGATATTCCCACAAATTTACATATCGATATTTCTCCCGATACCCAAATTTGAAACACTACTTCTACTACTTTTACTTTTGTATAAATTTGTCTAATATGTTATATTATCAAGAATAAGAGTTGTTCATACATGTCTTCGGATGATGGTTGATAGTTTGGCAAGAAAATCGCTACATGAAAAAGATGTTAAAAATTCAAGTTTGTTGCCGCTTAGTGTTACGGTCAAGTGATATTCCTCTTCATTTGTAAGCGAGAAGTCTACTAACCCATTATGAGGCTGAGCCCACCTCTATTTTTAGTGTAGATAATATCGTTTGTTCACAAAAAAATAAAAAATAAAAAAATTCAGGCTTTCTCTACAACTTTATTTTTGGTCCAATACTTAAAAACTTTCAGCCTAAACCAAGCCCAAACCTAATTGGGCCTTAAAAGATTCCAATTATTTCATCACTGCCCATGAAAAGGAGAAGTCAATGGCATTAATAAATAAAAGGGAACTTTAACGAAAAGCACCCGGTACTGTTCACTTTAACGAAAAACCACATTTTTACACTAAAAAATCAATCCTGGTACTATTCACTTTACCCTTTATTTTGTCCTTATCATTAAAACTCAAAGTTTTCAAGCCATTTTCATTAGTTTTCCTTAAATAAAATAGTAATAATAATAAATAAATAAATAATGATATCCGGAGGATTACAATGACGGAGCTAGGCAAAATTATAAGGTAGATTACAGGAAACTCGGTCAACAAGAATGGAAAAGGAACGAGACCGTCCATCGTACATAATGCTGTCAGTTTTCGTTAAGTACTATTTATATTTAATTTTAAAATTTAAAATGATTTCTGATCGGTACGATGTACGATGGATGGTCCGGATCACGGGATTCCTATGATCCCTAGGAAAAGAATCCGGCGAGCATCATTTTCCAACAAGAATGGTTAAATTCTTGAGAAAATAAATCGCAACCTGCAAGTGAATTTACAAGTGCTTCTGCTCAAAAGTTTCAGTATTCTATCCTGACGAAATTCCAAGGCATTTGCGTATGAATTTAGTTAGGAAAGTTGGATGCATGTTTAGCCATCCCTACGACTTTAATTCCCCTTCTGTTTTACTCAGTTGTTAGATTTCTTGTATGCAGCAGCAATGTGGTTAATAAGCACTATTCCAAAAATTCTCGTGTAGGTGCTAAGCAGCTGGACACTGTCCTGATTAATCCTAAGCATTCGAAAATTAAGAAAGGGTGCATGGTGCCTAGACTTGTCCAGACACCCTCTAACCCGCGACCCTCATTTAGAAATAAAATAAATCACTTTCATTTTTCTTTTTATTTTTTTCTATAAATTTTAAAAGACTTGTTGAGACACTCGTTACATGATTGTTCAACATGTTTTCAATATGTTCTAATACATTATAATCTATATGTCATTTTATTTTGCAATTTATGTATCTCAATACGAGTATATTTATTTTTACGTAGAGTAGACATTTATTTATATGTTACATAATAAATTTAATTAAAATAAAAAAAAACTGCCTAGACACATATGTGTTAGGCCCTTGCTGAGCGCCTATCACCTTTTAAATTATTAATAAGTCCTTTATTTCTCACGAAAAAAATTACACTTGATCAGCACACGAAGCGATCTTTAACATTGGAGAGAAATTGAAAATACGCATATCGCCATGACGTGCTGAAAACTAGAGGGCCACAAACTCCCCAAAATCCGACAATGAAACCAAGAGCCACTGAAATATGAAGCCATGGAATTTCGCTCCCATTGTCATGTTTATCTTCCATGTTCTTAGTTGCATTATCACTTGTATTCATTTGTTGGCATTTGTTTGGAAGTGGGGAACCGCAAAGTCCCGAGTTGCCCTCATAGGCAGTGGCATCAAAGCCTTGGAGTTGTGTGCCTGACGGTACTCGTCCTTGGAGGTTATTGTATGCAACACTAAGTGAAGCCAAGAAATGAAGGCTTGATAGTGAAGCTGGGATTCCGCCCGATAGATGGTTTCTTGAGAGGTCTAATCTCTCCAAGTTTGTGAGCTTAGATACCTGGTCCGGAATGCTGCCAACGATGTTGTTGATGCTGAGATCCAGCTCGTAAAGGTTTTGCAACCGCCCTATCTCAATGGGAATGTTGCCACTTAGACTGTTATTTCGGAAGCCAATAGTTGGCGGCAGGTTGGACAGATAGTTGTACTGCAGAGATGAGACAGATCCATTCTGGGGACGCGCATAGATAGGTAGTTCGACATCACCACTATCCGTTTGAGCGGAAGGCTTCTCAAATACAAGAGCTTGAAGTGAGAAAAGCTCCTTTGGAAGTCCCCCCGAAAGCAAGTTGTTGTCCAAGCTTATGACGAAAAGACTAGGAAGACTTCCCAACCAAGGAGGTATTGAGCCTGTGAGTCTGTTAGAAGACAAACAAAGGACTCTGAGTTTCTTGAGCTTTGACATCCACACCGGAATATGACCCTTAAGTTGGCAGTCCGATAAGCTAAAAAGGCGGAGATTTTGAAACCCAGAACCAATCATTGCATCACCATCCGGCAGTTCTTCACCTAGAAAACTATGTGAAAGTAAGACCATCCTGAGACTTTCCAAACGCATCAATATATGTATAGCGCCGGTGACATTGGTGAGTCTGTTTTTACCAAGCGAGAGGAATGATAGGTATTTCAACGAAACAATCTCGGGTTGTATTTGTCCCTCTAGATCATTACCGCTCAGGCGAATTGCTTTCAGATGCTTGCATGAGTAAAGGCTTTTTGGCATGGCGCCAGCGAAGTGATTACTCACGAGATCAAGTTTGATAAGTTGATCAAGTTGGGAAAAATTTAGCTCCGAGATATTTCCATCAAAATGGTTGAATCCAAGATTGAGTTCGATAAGGTTAGTGCAATTCATCAAAGATGGGGGCAGATGACCTTCAAGATTGTTGAGATGAAGGAGCATGAGTTTTAATTTGGAGAGCTTCCCGATGTGGAGAGGAAGTGTGCCACTCAAATGATTGTAGTAGATCTCTAGGATTGTGAGGCTGGTGAGGTTGACAATGTTGTCACTAATGTGACCAAAAAGCAGATTGGAAGGTAACGAAATTTCATGAAGAGCCTGAGCTTTGTAGAGATCACTAGGAAGAGTTCCAGAGAGAGTATTGAAGCCCGCACGAAAGGTTTCCAATTTCAAACAATTTCCTAGTCCGAGAGGAATTGAACCATTGAAATCGTTGTTGGAGAAATCCAAGACTCTAATCGAAGAGGAACGAATACAGAGAGAGGAAGGTATTTGGCCTGTCAAATGATTTTTGCTGACATTCAAACTGCTTAAATTCCAGGCATGCTGGAGGAATGAAGAAGGAATTGTAGCATTGAATTGATTGTTCGACAAATCCACTATTTGAATGTAACTAGATGATAGAAACAAAGGTAATTTTCCGGACAGAATGTTATAGCTCAAATCAAGGATTTCAAGGCGACTCGAGGACAAGAAGAGTCCAGCTTCCAGAGGACCGGAAAGCAAATTGTGGGAGAGATTGAGGTGCGAAAGATGCGTGAGGCTTCCAAGAGAGCGAGAAATGCTTCCTTGGAGCCGGTTAGAGGGCAACGAAACATGTGTTACCCTACCACCGGCATCACAAGCGATGCCTTCCCAGTGACAACAATCACTGGAAGACCAATTTAAGCGATAAGAAGATATATCAAAAGATGACAAAAAGAGAGTTGTGATCTGCCTCCTTGCAAGCATGGTTTGTACAAATGAAAGTAGACAACAAAAAAAACAGGAAGAGGACTCCATAAGGTATTACGTGACTAGCTTCCGGCATGATCTTTTTCGCTATGTCTGCACTGGAATTATATTGCTCACATCGTTTCGGGGGTATATATACACTCCTTTGTTTGGAGCAAAGGAGGTAGAAATTAACAAAGGGAAGAAGGTAATTAGGTGATGGTTTGAATTCTTGTGAGCGATGTTTGATTTTGAAGTCCTTGCTTTCCACTTATATAGAAAAGAAACAAACCTGCAGAACACGGGACGTCACTAATGGAGGGTCTAATCACGGGTTGGCAACTTGGCAGCAACGTATTAGAAGGTTTACATTGACTTTGGCGTCGTGCTTTTTGGAAGAGCGAAAACATATTTTAGTTTTGAATCGTGTACATATCTTTTATGTAATGTGGTTTTGTCTGCTATTTCCCAATATCTTCAATCGTGTAAAGATCTTTTATGTATATATGTATTTGAAGTGGTTTGGTTTGACTTTAGGCTTTAGGAGTAAACAGCAAACAAAAGACTTCAAAGAGTCACTTACACTGACTTCAAAGTGGCCAAATGCGTTCAGATTACAATTTTGTTTTCCTTTTTGGATAGAAGCAATTGTGAAGAAGAGGATAATCGAATCTTGAACTCAAATGCAA